GTCTTATAACCTTTACCTTTAACATGCTGGTCTTATAGCCTTTACCTTTATTATGCTGGTCTTATAATTTTTACCTTTATTATGCTGGTCTTATAACTTTTACCTTTATTATGCTGGTCTTATAACCTTTACATTTATTATGCTGGTCTTACAACCTTTACCTTTAACATGCTGGTCTTATAACCTTTACCTTTAACATGCTGGTCTTATAGCCTTTACCTTTATTATGCTGGTCTTATAACCTTTACCTTTAACATGCTGGTCTTATAACCTTTACCTTTAACATGCTTGTCTAATTGTCTTTCCACTCTCCTGAGACATCTGTTTCCTTGTCTTACTCTGGTCCACATCATGTCAGCAAACAGCACAGAGAGTATCTGTAGCTCTATATACAGGCCCACTGATTGATTACAACGTTGTAGATACCTGTTAATTAGTTAATTAGAAGTTAATTAAAATTGTTTAATTAGTGGACACAAAAGATTTAACATGACCCTGTGGTCAGATTATTTTCAGGGGTACCATCATTTCTGTCCAAGCCTGTTTTGAGTTTTATTTATTTATTAATTTTAGTTGAAGCATGGCTGAAAATCAAGGTCTGACTTTCATTAGTTCATTTTATAATTTTTTTATTTATCATTAGTTTTGTCAGATTCAAGTTAATTCTGTGACCACTGTGGTTTTTTTCTTTTATTAAACAATTTTGTCCACGTGTATGGCAGATTCCTCCCTGGGGATTCGTACAGGCATTTTCCCTCCTTACAGATTCCAAGAAAAAAAAAATGTATATTTGAATTAATGGTTCATGGCTGACTTTGTCAAATGTAGATTATTCTAAGGAAAGGACTGATTTTCAAAACACAGTTTCAAGAATTATCTTTAAAAGTCCAATCAAAATGGTCCAAAAGATAGACTCCTCTTCCTGAAAGTCATCTTCTGCTGCCAGAGCAGCTTTCCTCCCTTTCCGTTCATCCTCTGATGGGTATGAGCCCTTCTCAAATGGGTCCTGGGCCACGGCCTGATCATAAAACACTCGCATTTCAAACTCACTCTCCTGATGAGAAGGGTGGCCATAAATGCCAATGCCCACAGGCCGTGCAAAGTCCTCTGGAACGACCACCACATCATGGCCGCAGGTGACCGACTGCAGCTTGTAGGTGTCGAAGCTCGGATGAAGGGTTTTATCGGACACATACAGGTCTGCATCCCCCTTGAGGCTCTGCATGTGCAGGACAATTCTGCCGTCGTGGTTGAGGCGCAGGTAGCTGTAGTTCCCGGCCCCGATGTGGCCCTGAACCACATGGAGCAGAACCCACTCTTCAGGGATGCCATCATCATCATCGTCTTCCTCAGAGGGGCTCAGGAAGCTTCTGACCTGCGACACCAAGAGGAGGAGGACCAGTGCTCTGCCGCCCAGCATCATGGTGAAGGCATCTGTCAGTCTGTCAGACAGCCTGAAACACACAACACGATTCAGCTCGGAAGACCTCATTTGGTAATAACAACGCATTATGTAATAATGTAATAAAATCAGGCTTCAAAATGTAATAAACTCACGCTAAAACTGCATTATATAATAATTGACACAAAATGTAATAAATTCACACTAAAACCACATTATGTAATAACTAACACAAAATGTAATAAATTCACACTAAAACCGCATTATGTAATAATTGACACAAAATGTAATAAACTCATGTTAAAACCGCATTATGTAATAACTGACACAAAATGTAATAAACTCACGCTAAAACTGCATTATGTAATAACTGACACAAAATGTAATAAACTCACGCTAAAACCGCATTATGTAATAACTGACACAAAATGTAATAAATTCACACTAAAACCGCATTATGTAATAACTGACACAAAATGTAATAAACTTGTGCTAAAAACCACATTATGTAATAATTGACACAAAATGTAATAAATGCCTTCAACGCATTATGTAATAACATTAAATCCTTTTTGCGGCAATTGTTACAAAATGTGGTGTTGTAATAATCTGGTGCATTATGTAATAAACAATCAAAAACCAGTATTTCTGTTCATACTAAACAATATACTTGTAATAACTGTCATGTTACAAATACTACATAATTAAATCTTTATAACTTTGGTCAATAAACACTGAACTTCTCATCTCTTATTTACATTTTCAGTCAAATTCTTGTGTATATGGATGTATAGAGCAATCTCACTGATTGTTTTCATGTTTATGGAATCTTTCAAAAACTTATTTTCTAATTTATTCAACATGTCAGAGCCTGTAGGACGTTAAAACAATTATTAACATCAAATATCCACTTCCAACCCACTCTAATGCTAGAAACAAGTTCTTCAACCCTCATTTCCTTCTGATACAGAAGCTAACAGTCCACCTGCACCGCCCTCAGCGGCTGATGGTCCACCTGCACCCCACAATCCCACCTGAATTTGATTAATACAGATTATTTAATGAAAATTACAGATTTTTAAGTCTCATTATAGGTTAACGTCTGAAGGGTTTAACATGTATAAAAAACTAACTTTTATATAAATATTGGGAGTTGTCTACAAGGTGGAATAATTTCTGTAACGGATCAGGACAGTAAATCAGAAAATGTAAATAAAAGATGAGAAGTTCTGTGTTTATTGACCAAAGTTATAAAGATTTAATTATGTAGTATTTGTAACATGACAGTTATTACAAGTATATTGATTAGGATGAACAGAAATACTGGTTTTTGATTGTTTATTACATAATGCACCAGATTATTACAACACCACATTTTGTAACAATTGCCGCAAAATGTAGTAAGGTTATTACATAATGCGTTAAAGACTTTTAATTACATTTTGTGTCAATTATTACATAATGCAGTTTTAGTTTGAGTTTATTACATTTTGAAGCCTGATTTTATTACATTATTACATAATGTGTTGTTACAAAATGAGGTCTTACAAGCTAAAAAACTGAAGCAAAATCAAAGGAGTCCAACTCCTGAAACATACAGTCAGTTTACAGTCACCACTCAAAAATATTATTTCATTCTGATTGTGTTCCACACATCCAGGTCATTTCTGTTGATGTATAGTGGAGGTATGCCCATTTGTTTTTATTCAACCAGTTTAAAAAAAAAAACGTGAATGAGGCGACTCTCAGCTGTCGAACAACAAAAGTTGAAGAACTAAAGGAATACCTATTTTACATCTCGTCAGTGTTTAAACAGACTGGATTATTTGACTGTCGTGTCTTTTATCAGAATCAAAACGAAGAAAGTAACAAACTTAAACCAGGTGAAAGAAGACAGTGGAGGAGTGGTGAAGCTTATTTTAAACCTGTTGGACTGTCATTTCTGACATCAGTTTCCTGATATTATTTGACTGCTGTAAAGATACACAACTAACAAATACTAATATCTGTAAACAATAACTAATTATTGTCTTGTGCTTGCTTAGAGCAGGGTCTGCAAACTGTGGCCCTCTTGATCAAAACCAACATGGAAATTATCAATATTTCCATTTATATTAACCACTGTAGGAGAACAACAGTGTTGTATAAAGTACCTCAAAGTGATATTTGAGTAAAAGTACAAAAATCTTATAGTATCTTATAATACTCAATGTTCCACAAAAATGCACTGAGGGCCACAGTGGTCATCAAACTCTAAAACTTAACATGTGAAACTTTAGGTCACCTGCCACTTTAATACACCTGTGCGTTTTATTTCTTATCTATGATACTTTACTCAAATATCTACCCAACATCATCTTACAATAAACATCTTATGGGATCTTTGTCAACCAAGCCACACTTTTCATATTTTTGTTAAGATTTCCATTTATTTTTATTTTACACTGTATGTCCATATTGTGTTAATTTTGTTCTCCAGGGTGATTATACTTTATTTTATTCTACTGTGCTTTACTTCTTTCTTCTCATTTTTTACTTGAARGGTTGCAGCTGTAATAACTAGAGGCGCAACAATACATGTAGTCATGGCCGAAAGTGTTGGCACCCCTGAATTTTTTCCAGAAAATTAAGTATTTCTCCAAGAAAATTATTGCAATTACACATGTTTTGTTATACACATGTTTATTTCCTTTGTGTGTAGTGGAACAACACAAAAAAAGAGGGAAAAAAAAAGGCAAATTTGACTTAATTTTACACAAAATTATCGGCACCTTTTCAAAATTGAGGGTAAAATACTCTGTTTCAAGCTTTGTGATAAGTAACAGGTGTGGGCAATTAAAAAAAAATCACACCTGAAACCAGATAAAAAGGAAAGAAGTTGACTCGATCTTTGCATTGTGTGTCTGTGTGTGCCACACTAAGCATGGAGAACAAAAAGAGGAGAAAAATAACTGTCTGAGGACTTGAGAACCAAAATTGTGGAAAAAATATAAACAATCTCAAGGTTATATGTCCATCTGCAGAGATCTTGATGTTCCTTTGTCCACGGTGAGCAACATAATSAAGAAGTTTACAACCCATGGCACTGGAGCTAACCTCCCTGGACGTGGACGGAGGAGAAAAATTGATTAAAGGTTGTAACGCAGGATAGTCCGGATGGTGGATAAGCAGCCTTAATCAAGTTAAAGAAGTTCAAGCTGTCCTGCAGATGCAGGGTGCTTCAGTGTCAGCTCCAACTATACGTCCACATTTGAATGAAATGAAACACTACGGCAGGAGACCCAGGAGGACCCTACTGCTGACACACAGACATAAAGCTAGACTGCAGTTTGACAAAATGTATGTAAGTAAAAATCCTTCTGGGAAAACATCTTGTGGACAGATGAGATCAAGATCAAGCTTTTTGGTAAAGCACATCATTCTACTGTTTACTGAAAACTAAATGAGACCTACGAAGAAAAGAACACAGTACCTACAGTCAAATATGGTGCAGGTTCAAAGATGTTTTGCTGCCTCTGGAACTGTGTGCAAGGCATCATGAAATCTGAAGATTACCAAAGGATTTTAGGTCACAATGTAGGGCCCAGTGTCAGAGAGCTGGTCGTAGGTCATGGGTCTTCCAGCAGGACAACGACCCCAAACACACTTCAAAATGTCCTGATGCATCTCAGTAATCCAGGTAAAAAATCAAAAGGAAAAAAATAGTATAGGTCTTCTGGACGGGTTCTTCTCTAATGAAACGTTTCGTCTCTCCTCCAAGAGACTTCTTCAGTCTGAGAGTTTCTCTCTCTCTGAGAGAGTTCAAATATGAGAGACTTGGAGCAGTTTGTAAAAGAAGAGTGGTCCAAAACTCCAGCTGAGAGGTGTAAGAAGCTTGTTGATGGTTATAGGAACTGATTGATTTCAGTGATTTTTTTCCAAAGGGTGTGCAACCAAATATTATGTTGAGGGTGCTGATAATTTTGTTTGGCCCATTTTTGGAGTTTTGTGTAAAATTATGTCAAATTTGCCTTTTTTTCCCTCTGTTTTTTGTGTTGTTCCAATACACACAAAGGAAATAAACATGTGTATAACAAAACGTGTAAATGCAATAATTTTTTGGGAGAAATACTTAAATTTCTGGAAAAAATTCAGGGGTGCCAACACTTTCGGGCATGGCCGAAAGTGTTGGCACCCCTGAATTTTTAATAAATCCAGCTAAACTTCCCAGTCAGAATTTAAAACATTGAACAAATTACTGGTGGAGCAATTTAAACTTGTTTGTTTTTTTTACAAATGAACTAAAAACTGCAGATGAGAGTCAAACATTAACAGTAAAATAAAGTGTGTGAGGTGTAGACAGGTGGAAGCTCAGAAACAAGTTCGGCAGGATTTCACGCTGAAATAAACTTTAGCTATGGTCTGGTCTATACGTCACTGTAAGTTATCATTTACTTCTTTTTAAGCACCAACGTGATGCTAATGTGAAGGAAAGACGATCTGCACTGAAAGAAAACACACAGCATGTGTTGCATTTTGGTTTTCATTTGTTGTACTGTACTTGTTGACTGTGTGTAAGTGAACGTGGATGAGACAGCCATCAAACTAAATATTTATTAAAGTTGAACTTGAATAATTAACGACTGCATTTTATTAACAACGTGTTGAGACAAAACACAGGTAGTTTTATAATCTCATCAACCTTTCCACACATTTAAAGTGTTAAATCAGCATTTCTGTCAGTTTATCTCACTACATCAGACACTGTGCAAGTCTTAAAATATTAAACACCACTGTACAATCCCGGCAGGTTACTTAGTTAAAAGAAAAGGGAATAAACTGATTAAAATAATAATGTTAACATTTTGATGGAGACCTGTGGAGCTTTATAACCCACCTTAAAAATAAACCAGCTGGCTTTCTTAGACTCTGACCTCTGACTATTAATTCAGCCCAATTTTAACATTTAACTACAGAAATAAATAAACAAACAAATAATCCACTATTATAACAAGTTTAACGCTTTAACTTTGAAGTTTATAACGAGGTAAACAGAAGTAAATTTGACTCACAGTTAAGCTAACCTGCTAACACGGTAGCTGACCAGCAATTACAAATTATAAACTAAAATAAGTCCAACAACGAATATTGTGTAGTCTCCAATTTAAACTTGTTTGGACAGATTTTATGCTAACAGTGATTAGAGCTAACAGCTAACGTCACATCGTAGCGAACATTTCATGTTTAATTCAGTCATAAAACGTTTAACTTTGCATTAAATTACAAAAAAAGTCAATTACTATAAACCAGACAGTGAAGTTATTAAACGTATTGTTGAGCTGTTTGACACAAAACCGACTTTACTTACACAGCTGCCGTGTTGAAGCAGGCATGTTGTGGATCAGGAAAGTTCACTTCTTCTCTTCATGTCCAGCGGACACTTCAACAGGCCGCACTCCTGCGCCCCCTGCCGGGGAAACACACCTGCATCACTTCAACAGGCCGCACTCCTGCGCCCCCTGCCGGGGAAACACACCTGCATCACTTCAACAGGCCGCACTCCCGCGCCCCCTGCCGGGGAAACACACCTGCATCACTTCAACAGGCCGTACTCCTGCGCCCCCTGCCGGTCGTCCGGGGAAACACACCTGCATCACTTCAACTAACAATAAAAGGATGAGTTCACAGTTATATCTATTTTAATTAAGTAATCTGATTCTGCTGAAAGTACACTGCATTTCTTTAGTTGTACATTTGAAAAAATAAAAATAAAAAGAGAAACCCAATTAAAAGACCCAACAAAACCTCTTCGGTTCCACTTTACAATACGACTCCCCTTATCCGCTTACAGATAGTTTATAGATATTAATCTGTAAACACTCAATAAATCTTTAATAAATGTTTATTATGGATTAATTAATAACGGGAAAGTCACAAAACTGTCCAGTTTCTTGTTAAGTAGTGAGCCAAATCTGTTTGTGTACACATTACTAGGTTTGCAAGCACAATTATGTATTGGAAACACATTTTAAAAATAATATTGTACTATATTACTGAATTATATATATTAAATGTCAAAGGGGGCCTTGTTGTAAAATGTATGACACTAGGTACACTATTTATTAATGACTAATAAACTTGTATAAATGTCATAAAGGAGCCTTATTGTAAAGTGTAAAACAGTTCACTATAAGACTCTGTTATATTATTAGTCATTAATAAATAGTATATTCTTTTACACTTTACAATAAGGCTCCCTTTGATTACTGTGGATATGTATAATGCAGTAATACAGTATAATATATGTAAAATATGTGTTTTCAATAAATTATTGTGGTTACAAGGTAGTAAATGAGTCTGAAATGTTTAATAAGCACCTGTACATGAACAGATTTGGCTCACTATTTGGCAAAAAACTGGACAATTGTCTCTTTCCCTTCTTTAATTAATGAATAATAAACACTTATGATTTATAAAGTCTTTACAGATGAATTATTAACCTATCTATAAACTATTTACTAGCCATCTATGGGGAGCCTTATTGTTAAGTGGWACCACCTCTTCTAAAGCAGCTTTATATTAATACTGAGTGCTGCATAAAATATTAAATATAATTTTCATTTTACAGGCTTTGCACTTTCTTTCCCCTGAATTGAGCTCTATATAATATGAAGCTTTATTTTGTTAAAGAAATCAAGCCTTGTGGTTGTTGGCATTTTAAAACGGTCCAGAACAGATCATTACAGGGCTTTATAACAATTCTGTGCACCAATCCAGTCAGAAAGTCACGTAGCAAGAACTGAGGCATTTCAAATGTGATCTGGAAAATATTGTGTTCTCTACTTCTTTCTGACAAAACGGCTCCTGGTGACGTGAAATATAAAACTGTTAAGATCAGTGTTTTACGTGGTATTTAATCACAGTTTATCTCAGTCACTCATCAGTTCAGTAAATGCAGACTTGTTCCCAGCTCAGACCAGTTAGAGAACAGCACAGTGGGAAGACTTTAAACACCTGAGAAATGGCCGGTGGGGAAACACGCCATTATCATCAAGCGTTACTTTATTAGATTGTATTTACAATTGCCTTAGCAACACTCGTCAACGCTGTTCAAGATGACAGCTTCTGCCTTTTTAAATCCACACACACCCCACATGGTTGAGACAAAAAACACACAAAACCATCTCTGAACAAGCTGCCACATCTTTTCCTACAGCCTCTTCATGAAATCAAGCCTTTATTGGACCTTCCCTCTGCGATCACGTCAATCATGTTACTTCTTTAGCTGAGGTGTTGCTAGAATCATTTTTAGTCCAGTTTCACTTTGTGCACACGAGCATGACAATCTCATATGAATTACAGGTTTGTCTAGATGATTGTTTATTCTTCTGCTAAGCTTCAAGCATGTACGTATTTCACATCATTTCTTCTGAAAATACTTTTTCTGTAGTTTTTTTAATGCAACTTTGGAGAAAAAAAAGAATTATGTTTCTAAAAACCAGGACAAATTTTTTTATATTTCAAATTAATAAACTCGTCCAGGTCTGCATATTTTGTCACGTTCGATACGATTCTCAAAATTATCTCCAAATCAGTGTTGATTATTTTTTTTACAAACCAATCGACCACTTTAAGGCCTCCGAATTCGACATGTGTCCCATCCTGAGAGTCCGGGCCGAGCCACAGCTTGAAGTGGACTTTCTGGTGCTTCTCATTCTGAAGTGAGCCGTGTCGTCAGCTCCTCTCTCAACAAAACATTCCTTCAACACTTAAAACACTCAGAGCATCTGAAGTGATAAAAGCCTCCTGAACAGATTAAATACGTCATGGTTCAAACGGAGCTCAGATGGGCTTTAGGTGGGTGAAGGGAGGATGGAAATACTTTATTATCAGGTTTTGTTTTGTAGAATCAGTAAAAATATGTTTGCAGTTAAGAGTTTAGAATATAGTACCATGCTTGTGCTGCTCGTGTCGTCCTAACCGTTTTCACCATCACTGTTGAAAACGACAGTCCTCACTAGTATCATTAATCCCAGTCTGCACAGGCACCCCGTGTGTTCACCCAATCACAGTGTCCGAAAGAGAAAAATAACGAGATTGTTTTGGTGTGTGTGTGTTCTTGTTTCTGCTACAGACTGAGGACCACTTGCAAAATAGTTATGATCAAAGTGAGGTTTTTGATGTAAAGTGAGGACTTTACTGGTCCTCATTTTTTTGCAGCTCTATGAGTCAGGTTTAGATGTATGGTTCAGGTTAGGAGGAATAAACTAGTAATGGTTAATTTTGGTGAAAATGTCTGGGTTAGACATAAATACAGTTACAAACATGAATGAAGTCAAAACAAAGTCCTCAGTTTGACTTTACAAGGAAGCTGGTATTCCCTACGCTGTGGGTCAGAGGTTAGGTTGGTCTTAGGGTTGGTGGTCGGGGTTAGACTATAGACATTAATGAAAGTTAATGCATATGTATTAATGGATGTGTGCGGGCATGTGATGCAGGGTGAACCAGGTCAGCAGCACAGATGGCTCCTCTGCTGGGGACAAAATGGGGATCAAACATTCTTGGTTTGTCTAAACTGGAATTATCTTTTAAATCTTGTCAAAGTCTTCTGTTAAACTCTCTTCTGTCCTCGGCTTGCTCTTATTCATTTGTACAGTTTGGAGTAATTAAGCCCGCTGTAGATTCACGCTCGTCTCCTCTGTCTGTAGTGAAGATGTTGGGGGTCTGAGGCAGCTGTGATGCTGGGAGGGCTGGAGGAGGAGGTGGCAGGGTGGGGGGCTCAGACGGGGGGGGCTTTGCGATGCAGGAAATACTGGTGGATATCGTCTGCGTCGCGCTTCAGCCAGGTGGCGTTGAGGAGGATGTTCTCACAGCACTGCTGCACCGTGCGCTCTGCAGCTGGCGCCGGGTGACTCTCAAAGAAACTCTGCATGGAGAGAGAGAGAAGAGGAGCTGTTTAACTGGTTACCTGAAAACAACTGAGCAACTCATGGAAACAGTTTACTACAAACAAGATGTTAGGAGTGACACCAACACAAAAACATGATGTTACAAACAGAAACGGTTCCTCCTCCAGTCGGCTGGTTCATTCTGCTGACAGCTAAATGTGCTAAACAACATCAGTAGCTGTGTTTCCACTGCAAATGTGCGCAAAACTTTGTCAATATTCTGTTAATGTTGAAAAAACACAGTTTCACAACTGCGGTGTTTCCATTAAGTAAGAAATGCTATTGAAGTCACACGTGAATARGTTTGTTCTCATGATAAGTCATTACAAACATGGCAGCGATGGATGTAAACACATAGCATGTTGCTACCATGACACTAGCACTCATCATCAGAGGAGACGTCGGCGTCTTTTATCGAGGCTTTCCAGAGACAAGTCCCTACTTGGGAGCGGCTACGTATGCTGTGTTTTTGGGAAATTGTAGTCGGTGAGTTTACTATTTTATACTACTTCTGTGATATTACTACTACTTCTACTTCCTGTTATATTACTACTACTTCTACTTCCTGTTATCTTCTTCATCATCGTCTTTTTCACCAGTAGAAACAGCCGGTTGTTGATCACGTGACTCCTGTGATGCGAAAAGTGTTTCCATTGCAGTTTTGCGAAAAATACCAATTTCGATACGGCCGAAAAACCACCTCATCCTAGCGCAAAAACATTTTGTCGAAAAACGTAATTTTTTTTCGAAATTGACGTGTTTCCATTGAGCAAATTTATTTTCGAAATTCTAATTTGCACATTTTCATGGTGAATGGAAACACAGCTAATGAGGCACTTCGCAGAGCTACAACTGTTCTCAGAAGTGCAGTGTCGTTGCTTTGAACGCTTTTCACAAAACTTATGAAGCTACTTTCCTGTCAAAATAATCAGAGTACAAGTGGGTTACTCAACAGAGCTGTATAGTCTTCCACAGGAGATGATGGCATCATCCAGGTAAATCTAAATGTCAAGGTATAAAACTGATGATCAATAACAAACTGATCCCAGTTCCAACCTGAACTCCAGCAGATTCAATCAGAAAAGTGAGGGCCGCTGCTAAACAGGGAACAAAACGTACCAAGTGGGTAAAGAAATAATGTGCGGGGGCAAGAACACAATCATGTAAGCTGTGAATATGAAAACAGTCCATCACTACCTGTGTGCTTACTGCAGAGCCAACAGGTCCACGCAGGACACCCACACATCTCAGCTCCTCCTGGGGGATGGCAGTGTGTTCCCAGACCAGAGAGGACACACAAGCCTGAGGCCAGTTCTGAGTCAGCCCTGGGATCCCCTCCCAGTGTCATGAGCCCAGAAAACATTCCTATCAGAGGTCTGGACCATCTCAGCTGATCCTCAGAGATCCAAACCTCAGTCCTGATCCATAGCTCATGACCAGAGGTGACTGTTCTTTAAGACAACACCGCCRGGCTAACAGTCTATTCTGGGTGGACTTCCCCTGGCAGAAGTCACAGACGGAGACGTTCTCTGACCGTGTTCAAATACGTTCTCAGAGAACATCAGAGTGGGATTAAAAGAAGACAAAAACACAACTGCTCTGACGTGCTGCTGTCACTCAACCTGCTGAGTCTTGTCCTTATTATATTACAGAGAACAAAATGAACAATCATGATTTAAATGGTTAAGTTTACAAATAATCCGAGTCTTTTGGTTGTATCCAGGTGTTGGATCATTTTAGCTGGTATTTATGCCAATAAACTTTGTTTCCTCTTCTGCACATATATGAAGTGGAACTCACGGGGCTTGAAGGAAGAAAAGAAAAAAGCACAGCAAGTTTATATCTGGTGTTTTGATTTAAGAAATCCACAGCTGGGTGGTTGCCAAAGCTGTCAGTCAGAAATACACCGGCCCACCTTCTTGCTTGGAAGGACAGCAAGACAGTGCCTCTGTCCCCCCTCTGCACTTCTGTGTGTCTTCTGAACGGACAGAGGTGGTCAGAACCTGCATCAATAACGGTACAGAGTCTTCTGAATAAGCCTACAATGTGAACAGACTCAGCACTTTCTTCACCACGATCGACTGAAGCAACGCCCTCAGCAAAGAAGAAAAGACCCTGATATCCATCATTCAGCCTGAAGCTAAAACTCTTCACTGACCGCACCTGCAGGGAGCACTGCACTGTTTTTCTTGTAGAATAGGCCAGCATTTTCAAGAACTGGTCATTCAAAACACAGACAGGCGGTTCGTTGGTCACAAAGGTTCAGGAGTTCAGTGAGACTCATTTCCCACAATTCTGAGTCAGTACCACTCAAAATACTTGTTTATCTGTTACACAGTGACATTCTACTCAGTCATCAAAACAAAATCGCTGCAGTAAACAAACTGAAGCAGAGAGATGAAGAGTCTGTCCCTCAGCTGCTGCAACTCCAGCCAACGACCTCAACACTTCGTCGACACTCCACGACGTGCGCGACACTCCACGACGTGCGCGACACTCCACGTGTCGAGATTGACACTCCACGACGTGCGGGACACTCCACATGTCGAGATCGACACTCCACGACGAGCGACATTCCACGACGAGCGACATTCCACGACGTGCGCGACACTCCACGTGTCGAGATTGACACTCCACGAC